GTAAATAATTTGAAACTGTAATATATGCATATAGATTTATCAATCCACGATATATCAGAGATAATATTTTTATAGGCTAGACATATTTGATCAAATTATCTTAACAAAACTGACAAATACAAGCAGGTCTAGTGGTTTTGTTCACACCTAATGTTTAATTAGGTAAACATAAAACCTCCCTATTCCGTGTTTTAACATACACATGAATCACAGCAATGAGTAGGTATTCTTTTTTTATGAAATCAAGTAATTGTCACTATACTGTAAGTTGTGTATAAAAAACAACTTGCCCTTCAATAGCTTATGAATTGTCAATGAGTAGCCATTTTCCATCTCTAAACAATAGAATGTTGTGATTGATTTTGTAAAAAAAAAAAAAAAACATTTATCTACACCCGTTTTTTAAGGTAGCCGTTTCAGTTCAGTTCTTATAGTTGAAAAGTTTCACATAACATCATTGTTTACTACCATAACAGCATAGCTTGACTTAACAACACGGTAACTGACCAATGAGGTTCAAGGATTGAGAGAGCAGAAGTAAAATCGTTATGCTTCGGACATCAACTAATCAGCTGTTTACCAATTTAATTGTTAATGATTGGTGCAATTAGTGATTGGTACAATCAGTCGTTGCAACGGACGGTGACAATGACATCTTATAAACTAAAACAACTTCTCTTAGAAGTTTTGAGTAGTGATTAATAGTAGGCCTAATTAAAAACGTCGTAGTTTTAAGTAGTGTACGCAACTCGCGTAAATAGTGTTAAAGACACGAGTAGAAAATTTAAGGTACGAGCCTTAACTACAACAGTCCAAAATAGTACCTAGGCTTGTTTTATGGCCTTAGTGATATTATTGGGAATCATCAGGGACATTGCTGACAGTTTCATGGTAAATTTAAAGAAAACAAAATCAATGAGGATAAATGTAGCGAATAAGAACAGTTTCAGAATGTCAGATGAAGAAATCAAAGAGGTGGACGGATTTACATATCTAGGAAATGTCTTAACAAGAAGAGCCGGAGCTGATGAAGATGTAATGTCAAGAATTACTAAACCTAATGTTGCTTTTGTACAGCTGTATCCTCATGTGGAAGGCTCGGGATGTTTCAACCAGAACCAAGTTGAAGATATTTAGTAGCAACGTCAAGTCTGTGTTGCTATATGGGTGTGAGACTTGGTGTGTATCTTCATCGTTGACACAAAAGCTCAAAATTTTCATCAACAGAAGTTTGAGAAAAATACTGAAGATTTACTGGCCCGAGGTTATTAAAAACAGAGAGCTGTGGAAAGCTACAGATGAAGAACACAGATTAAAAAACACAAGTGGCGATGGATTGGACACGACACGACACACTCTTCGTAAAGATCCAGATGCTGTAGAGAGGCAGGCCTTGAGCTGGAATCCCCAGGGGCATAGACGAAGAGGAAGGCCTATAAAACTACCTGGAGAAGAACTATAAAAGAAGAAATAAAAGATGCAGGGAAAAACTAGAGGGAAGTGAGAGCCTTGGCTGCCAACCGAGTCCGATGGTGTTGTTTTGTGGAGGCCCTATGCTCGGTGCAGGAGTGAAAGGAGATAAGTCAAGTCATGGTAAAATTAAGTCAAAATTAAGTCAACTTAGTTTAATCAGAGGCAGGTCTAATATTACTCAGGCAAAACCTTGTTAAGGGTATCATATATCTAATAATATTACATTAAAAAACAACGTGAGAATCTAATGTACGATTTTGCATTATTTATATCTTAGTTTTTTGCCATTCATTTCAAATCTATCGTGTAACTGGTTTCATTTAAGAAGTCTTTGTCATCTCTTTTGTCCTAATGATACTTTCTCAAGGTCAAAACTGATCCTAGGGGTTTTTTAATGAAAAAATAGTCCTAGCTAAAGAATCCAATAGTCTTTAGACTCAATTAGATGGGGTGAGTTAACAAGCCAATATAGCCGTCAAGTGCACTACTAGTAGTAGTCTAAACTAACTAAAGAAAACATTTAGTTACTTACATTGAAAAATTAACCGTTTCTTTTGGGATGTTGAAGAAATCGGAGATCTTATAGAGAGGAAGTGCGAATAAGAGTGCTACCACTGTTAAGTAAACAACATGCGTTTTTCCGTTCCGTTGGAATTGTTTACGGTTTTTGAAGGGCCGGTCCAAACCAAACTCTGGTCATTGTATTATCTAAAGTCGACCATTTGTTAAAAGCATAAGTAATCCATATCCCAATGAATAATAGCATCCGGGTCAAGAATTTATTTTGCTCCATATTGAACCAGAAACCTTTATATCTAAAGGCAAGCATTATAACTACTTGACTACCTTGAAAAGTAAAACATATCTAAAATACCGTCACAATTATGTGTGTTAGTTGGACCTAACTTCCTTCAACAATGGTCCTGGGCTTAATGATACAGGATATGCAATTCAATATGGGAACTCATTGAAGAGCCTGTTTTCACACTCAACATCTTAGTAACTTGTTAATTGCACCAAGAACATAAAATTTTTATTTAAAAAAATACCTTTTTGATAAATGTATCACTATACATTCTTTAATGCAATGTCAGTGAAAGTTTCAGTAATAAAGTTCCAAGTAAGCATTTATATAAATTGGTAGTATCCTTATTTTATTAAACCAGACTAGATTACTAGCAGCTCTCCTCAGAGGTAGTTGCCTTTTAACTCCTTGGGAGTCCTCTTGTGGGCTGGAGACCCTGAGGCACCCTAGCCAACCCCAAGATCCCTCCTCATCTTCGTTCTGGGTTTTATGACCAGCATGCTTCATCTTTTGATGGATGTCCTTTCTGATTTGCTTTCCTATCAAAGAACTCTTCTTTCCTTCTCCCCTCTTTTTGTCTCTGTCTCAGCGAATCCTCAGTGGTGTCAAGTAACAAGTGCCGAAGAGATCAATACCACCGGACTGGTGGTGCGTACGGAGCCTCCAGGATAGCAGGCACTCTCCTACAGTAACTAGCCTTACCCAGGCATGCGTGGCTCTGTCTGTGCTCAACCTTCAGCCTTTTATGGGAACCCTTCATAACCCCTCATAACTCCTACTTCAATCGTGGGAGCTTTGTGGTTTCTAGAAAGCCAGAAGCCTACCAAAACCCAACTCCACAACTGGCAATTACCAACATTGAAATGATGATGTTTATTCCTTACAAAATTACATAGTAAAAGAAAATTAACATTCTAGAAATAATTCATTCTAACCACAATTATCAGTGAGCATCATTGGTTCAATAAGATAAAAACCTTTTAGGGTTTAGCTCATCCAGAGCAAGGCCCCTCTTGCAAATGACACAGTGGGAAAAAGAAAAAGTCCCAAAGACCAGAGGAAAGAGGAATACCAGGCCCAACTGTGGGTTCGGATGTCATGACGAAAGACCCTAAGCGCCATGGAAATTAAACGGTCACTCCACCCTCTTGGTGCTACTAGCACCTACTTGGTGCTAAGAGAAGGGCCCTGTTTGGTCAAAAGTAGCTAGATGATGAACCAGACACTAACATTAGGCAAAAGGTCCTGGACCTGGTGTAGGACACAGGTATAGGTTCACCTAGTTAGGGGCATGCACAATAAGCCTCGGTTGACGTGACGGGACCGGGACCTAGAGTATACCTCATTAAGTAGCCTACCTACACCTTGAGTGCCGCCGCCTCATTCAATTTTATCTACAATGCAAATACTAGAAAGTTGTAAAATTTTGATGGGTGGATTGTAAGTTTATGTGTATAAAGGTCTGATAATTAAACTGCACAAGTACAAATACCCATTCTCCACAATGATTTGTACTAAGCTTAAAACTATATGCCACAATTTAACATTTTTAATGGAAGGGTAGTGTATTTCATCAATAAGAGCAAAAGTGGATCTTTTTGTTGAGCAATGAGACACTTTCGCTCCATGTGATAAGCAATTATGTTTATCATCCTGTGGACATAACCTTCTAATCAATACGAAATTAGACCACAAAGTTTGAGGTTGTACAAAGTCGAGTGTTTACATTTCTGTTGTTTACAAACATATCATGTGATTAGCAGCATTTTCATGTGTGTTTCAAATAGTAAACAACATAATGTGCCATAAACCAATTTTGAGGCTAGCGAACCTAAAAATGTACCATATGTTTTTTTCCTGTACTCTTTTTGATTTACTCGAAAACTATGATTTTTCAGACGATTTAGAGAACTAAAGCTGATCTTTTCCGGACAGTATGATGAAAAAAAATACTGTGATAATTAAATGAATAATTAGCAGTTTCTCATTTGAAAACTTCTGTTCTCAATATGTAGTTTCCTACAGTATTTCTTCACAGTTTCCTGTAGTATTTCTCCGTGCAATACTCTACACATCTGTCTTATATTACTCCGTAACAACAGGGTTATGCTAACCAGGCCCATACATTAGAGAGAGCGCTGCATATGGATGAGCTGGGGATATGCATTGATGTATAGTGTTGGTAGTTGACGACGGCTTGCCTCCAGCTAAAAGCATCTTCAACTTTCTGCATCACATTATCCACATCGAGAGCACAAACAATTAATCACTGAACACAGAAAAAAAATCACCTACGATATAGACATTGAAACATGTTACATACTTTATTGGTTTTTGTCTCCACCGTTAAGTACATAAACTTTTGGAGTAGGTGAGTAATTATAGTGATTGTCTTCAGATCTGAAAGTTACTGATTCGATCCCAAAAGTTGTTGCTTCTGGACCCAGATATTATTTATCATTGGGGCCAATTAATGAAATTCAACATTATATATTTACAACACCAGGGTTTGGGCCGTTCCTTTGATATCATCTGTATACACTTATAAATAATGCCAGCATCTTTTATCTGCTCTTTAAAACTTGGTATGAATATTTTTTACCATAGTTGACTTCTTTTTAGATTAATCAATACTTCGACAAACAACTAAACTGGGAAATTCGCTAAAATGTTTCTATGGTTTCAAAGACTTAGTTAAGTTAATCCGAAATTGAATTATTGTGTGATATGCTTGTTTTTGACCGTATATGTTAAAGTAGTTTTTACATATTTTTATTATTATTATATAAATCCCAGTGTCACATAATGGTTAGTGATTATTTAATAAGAAGATATATTGACTATTTTCATATAAGAAAGTTTCTAGCAAAGGAAAACTTCCTAAAAAATACATATAGTTAAATCTGGTTTTTCTAATACTGTATACCGGTAGGTATCTAATATTTGTACAACACTTAAAATTTCATTGTAACTGAGGAAGACATTAATTGACAATATTTTCATGAAGTTATTTATCATAAATCTCTTTCAAACACATAATATTCTAAGTAGGAAACTACCATACCTACCAAACTACCAACACCTTTGAAATAAATTATTTTAATGAGAAAAACTTCTACGCTGAAAAATCTTGAATAGTATTTGCTGCAATGTAATTAATTGCTAAACAATGTAGAGTAAAATTGGTTTTAAGATAAGTTTAATATTAATTTTAGCACAGACCATAGTCAGAATTCAGTGTAAATCAAGTTGCAGTGCATCCACATAATGTATCCTTTATTTAATCTTCAATTTACATACCTAACACTAAATACACCTCATAAAGTCAATATCCGGCAATGTATGACAAAATTCTGTTTAATATTAACTCTGGGTTCAGTCCAAACTAAACATCCTTAGCAGGACTTAACTAAGCCTATATGCTCCAGGTGCAAATATTATAAAAATTGATTGTTGAGTCTAGTGTTATCGTTATATGTTTGCCCCAGATGAGAAGGTCGGCATTTACTGAGCTGCAAACTAGAATAGCCGAGCATGTGTTGTCAGCACACCATACCTTGGACCTGCTAGACGAGTCTGACAGATTTTGGAGAACACAACTCGCCTCCCTGGAGAATCAGCAGACGAGAAGTCTTGGTCTGACTCGGGCAAACTTTTACAGGGAATATTACAACACCATGGACAGTGTGACACGGCGTAAACCTATCAAGGTTAGTTATTGTTTCATAGATAGTTTAACCGCAATCCTTGGAATTTACTCAGCTACTATTGTATAGTAAGGGTATGATACTTATGGTACTGACTTTATTTACAATATTTTACATCCATACTCAAGTGAACTGTCAATTTGTTAAAATTAAAAGAAAGATATACGAAATAGCAAGTTCCAGAAAGAAATATCCCGCTTACTGTTACAAAGCCCAATCTTGCTTACTGATCCAAGTTAGCTGCTTTCAACTGGGTTGTGAAGTCCAGATGACCCACCTGGCAATGCTCTTAATGTCAAGGATAAACTTTCACAATGAGACTCACTGAGTTTCAGCTCTTCTCACTTAAATTTTCAGCAGTTGAGTTGCACTCAACCAAAACCAGTGTTGACAATTTAAATTCTTTAAAAATAGTTTTTCTAGTTGTCACTATAGATTAAACATACTCCCTTATAGTAGATTTGTCATCCTTATGGATCAGCTGAAGACAAAACTAATGTTGATTCTGTTCATTGCTTTTAGGGGCAAGGTTTTGTTTACTTTTTGTTTTTTGACATTTAAAGTGATTTAAAACTTTGTTTGACCAAATAAAACGATCCAATCATAAACAAGCGCCAGATTTTACAATGGGATGAGAGGTCTACTTGTGTAGTCTTGTCACAGGATCACCAGTTCTGTCCTGGGAAAAGTCTATGCTAGCACTAGCTAATCCTATTTACTTCTTCTAGTTTTAGAGTACAGTCAACCACCTGACCTGGTAATGATCATAAAGCGTTCCCTATAGGACACACTGTTTGAGTTTCAGCCATTGATGAGACATCTGATCCAGGGACCTGTCCTCATGCAATGTCCTCATTTATTTGTTCAGATGCACCAGCCCGGTTCAAAACTGGGCCCAGCTGTCCTGGATCATTAGGCTTTAAATAAATTGTCCTAGCTAAAGAACAAGTGGTCTTGGTCAGTAACTAAGCCACAATTAAGTGATCCCAATTCATTCTACATCTTGCTGAATATGAAGCTGAAAGTACACAATTGCTATCTAAAATGTAATGATAATGATATTCTGGCATCTTGGTTTTAATTTTTTTAGAGGGGAATTTTACATTCTGGTGGGTGCTAGAAACAGCCACTCAATATAATAATGTACACGATAAGTATATCCTTACAAAAAATGTACTTCCTATGATATGAGAATAAATTCATGGTATCCTGTTAACTGGTGTCTCTGGTTGGTTAAACACACGTTGAGGGTTTGACAGAGGATAATTTTTGAGCAACGAAAGCTAACCATAAATATCTGACTGATTGTTGTTTGTGACAGTGACATTATAAACTTTTTTTATTATTGTAACTATTTTCATAGGGAACCTGTATTTTTCAGCCTCAAAGACTTGGCCAGACAAAAGTTGACTATTCCAACTCAGTCACTACAGTTCAGCACAGGTTGTTGAGTCCAAAGTCCTCCTTCCACAAATATGGCTATCAATTACAGTGCCTCACTTTCAGCCCCCTCTCTAAAAATGATAGGCCTTCCACATCAGGGTAGTCGAAAGTTGTTATGTTTTCTATAAAATAAAATAATGTTTTCACAACCAAGTGTTTTGAAACTGTACGCCTAATTTGTGTCAGTTTTAGCAATAATGTTAAAAAATAAAAAGTATTGGTTAACAATCTATATCTTAAATACAACTGTGGATCAGTTTAAAAAAATATTTCTCTCTTTGGTGAACACTAAGCATAATTTATCACAAAAATATGTAATTAAGTGTTTGATCCAAACCAAAATACAAAACTACGAATCAAATTGTCTCGTCATTCAGTTCAAAACATAAATAAATCAACAAATAAATAAATATTTATTAAAAAAGTCCATGCACTCAATTTTAAAAAGTTTTGTATCCATTGGTTTCACACTATGTTTAAGCTGCGCTGAAAGCTATAGGAATAAATTGCACTCGAGCCACAAGCTAATACCACTGGGTTTGCATGCACTCACAATATTGAAAATGAATAATAAATCCATGTCAGGACACTTGTCACACATTGCATTCTTTGCCACTTTATACTACTTTGAGAACATTCAAGTGCTGAAGACCTTAATACTTTTAAAGCACAGTGTAAGTAACATAAAAAGTTGAAACTACTTTTAGTATATGTTTTTGCACCTGTAACAATCTCTTTTATAACTTCTATACTGAACTCTAGCTTTATGAAACAGAATATTTAAAACAGTTTCAAAATATTTGATAATATCACTTGACTGCAACAGAACTAAGATAATTGAGTTATCATACTTTCAGTAAAGATGTATTTCCGTACACATTATGAGGGAGGAAGCTGGGTTAGTGATTAGAGCGAAGGGCCTCAGTTCAAATCCCGATATCACCAATTGCTTTGAGCTATTTGATGATACCTTTGACTATTAATACAACTTCAGTATCCAATAGTCAATGATGATGCCAAGCCCCCCGGGTTCAGAGAACACATCATCTAGAGGTAAATCTATTCATAAGAAGGTTTTGGGCAAGGAAAAATTTCACAATATTGTAGAACCCTAGAAACATAAAGCCAACGACACTTTTCCCTGTGTTTGTGGTTTTTTCCGATGGGTTATTTATTTATTTATTGGCAAAATAAACTCAATAGCAACCAAACTTTAAAAATATACATAATCCCATATTATTATTGTTGATTTTAGTTCTCTATTGTTTAGTTTTTCAGTAAGTTAATGCTAATAAGTTGATAAATAGATTATTTAAATTAACTTTTAAATAGCTTTAATGAGAGCTGTGATGTAATTTACCATGAGATTCTTACTACAGTAGAACGATCGAAATGTCGAACTATAGGGAGTAAATGGAGGACACTTAAAGTACAGGAAAGTAAAAACACAAGTTTTCTACAGAATTCACCCAAACTGTAAATACTAATAAGCTTAACAATTTCACTGTTCATTAGGTAAGTCTCAAGTCAACAATAAATGACAAATTAATGGCCAAGACAGCTTACATCACAATAGTAACCATTAAATACGAAATAGCTCAGCCCGTGTCGAACTACAAGGAGTCATTGTAGTTCGACACGGGCAAGGAGTATCGAACTATCAAAGGTTTACTGTAGGCTACTGTATTTCACCTTATTTTGTGAACACTATTTATGTATACACAAGATAAATAAATTTTACTTTGACTCTTATTGCAAATTTGTTTACTAACCCTACTCATTTCAGAAAAAATGCTTTATTTTACGTCTGCCCTAAAGGCCTGTTCACACCGGCGTAGCAAGACGTCTGCAGACGTATTTGGTGTATTAATACGTCGCCCGTGCACTGTTCACACCGCAGCTACGTCTGACGGCTACGTAGCCGGCTTTTGTTTGTTTATTTCATTATATTATTTTACATTTTGTTTATATTTGTTAATTTATTGTTTATTTTCATTAGTGTTTCATGAATTTCAGTTAAGATTGCCACGGTTTAATTGCAGCTTTTATAGTACCATGAAAAGTCTGTTGATTAATGTGTTAATGTTGACAAAAATATTTCACTCTAATTTTAGGCCGTATATAGTAGGCTATAAGATTTGCGCTGTATTATAATATTAAAAAATATATACAGAAAGCATGCAATAATTTTGCTCATCCATAAGGATTACATAATAAAATAGTCTATGGTGTAAGTAAGACCTATGTCTAGATATAATTCATTAATGTTTCAAAAATGTCAGCCCACTATATGAACCATAATAAACCATATTAAGAGAGACATTGTTTTTTATCAGGAAATTTGCAAGCATAAACAAAAAAAAGTGTACATTAGGTAATCGTATGATGAAGTATTAAATTGATCATATAAAGTTGTCTTAAGATTGTTATGTTATAGTCTAATCTGAATGTAATAGATTAATGCGATTTAATAATTTTTTTAGTGAATGTTTATGTTATAGTCCAACATTTACCACTAATAAATTAATTATGAGGTGTAGGGAGGGTGGTGGAGAACAGCCCGGTGTGCTAGTGCGCATGCGCGTATTCGGCTATGCGAGCTACGCGTAGCTAGCCGGCGTAGCGGCAGCGCCGTAGCTTCCGTAGCTCACGTATTAATACGCCGGTGTGAACACTCTCTATGAATTACATTAAGAGCTACGTCAGCTACGTATTTCTAAAAAGTATTAATACGTCTGGCTACGCCGGTGTGAACAGTCCTTAACAGCTGTTGACTGTTGAGTTACACATACTGTCGAGTTAGTGGGTATTGAGTTAGCGGGTGTTGAGTTAATGAGGTTTTACTCTATATACAGTGTTGACCATAGTAACAAATTAACACAGTTTTAATTTGGGTATTTCAAAATTTATTATATATTTTTTTCAATTTTCCTCGATGTTTTACATCATCATGAGACAGCCAAGCGCCTGTTGCTCCAACGGTGTGATTTCCTCCCCCTGTCACGTAAACCCCCCCCCCCCACTCTCTCCCTTGTCAGGGGAACAAACTCAATTACCGAAACAAGTGCTTGTAAATTGACATTCCACAGCCTTGGTTGTGAAATTACATCGTAGAAGGATTTACTTCAAAATTTATGATTAATTCCGAGTGGAGTTTTACTATTTCGGATTTAGAAAATGGTTATTTTATATGTATTTCATACACCATGGCAATTTTTACGTTTTTAAGGGGAACGGTCCAAACCGTGGTCTTGTTCTAATAATTTTGTTATTTCTGTACCTAGTTATTATACCTAGGTACTCATATAAACTATACTAGGGTACACTATCTACAATATTGGTTTTGGTTATGTTATAAGTAATTTCAAGGTCTATTGACGACACACTTACCTAACGGTCATTTAAAAAAAAGTTCTATCAGGAATCTCAAAAATGTTTATATCATTATATGTAAATGTACTTTCATAAAAATACTACATGCGTCTTTTAGAAGATGGTACAGATAACATTTTTCAGTTATTCACTTTGATTCAATTGTTACTGGTTTATGTAATCAAGACCTCAGTAGTAGAGCACTTCTAATTCCAAAATTATTATTGTGATAAAAATGACAATTTAACACTTCATATTGTATTTTAAAGTGTAAAACGTATAATTTAAAAATATAGAAACTAAAATTTTAAGATTTTAAAGATTTTAATTTTTTAGCTTAAACACTACTAATTGTGTTGATTAAATCTATAAGTTGTTATATTTTGTTAAGAAACTTGATAATATCTTTGATATAGTATCAAAATAAAAGTCTAAGTTATCACTGACATTTACGAGAGGCAACAATCCGACCTTAGAAGTCCGCTGGGATTGGTAGCTGGCAAATTTAATTTGTCATCATATCTCAAAGGATCCACTTTATTGTTCGTGGCTTCTATTTCTTCACAATATCAAATACAGGATTTGTCAAGGTTTACAAGCTGCAAAATCTTTGGAATAAAAATAAACAATCAAAGTTTTAAAAAAACAATTCTTTTTCCCCTTGATATTCAGAATACTTACAATCTAACAATACACGTTACATGGATGTAATGAAAATAACTTTTAGACCTTTTCTTGATTATGATCTGTCGAATGCAAACAATAAATTGTGGATTTTATCAAGATCCGACCAACTAGGCTACAGATTTATCAAGTAATTATTTATCCAAATTATCAATAATAAAGGGAAATATTTTTAATAGTGCTTGAGAACGAAAGAGAGGTATTATTATTGTATTCTACTTGTCAAACCTTAGAAACAGTATTTCTATGCACAATGTTGACACATAGGCGACATCCCTGCTGACCACCATGTGAAATATTGTCAGATGAGCAAAGACACAACACTGAACACTCAATTATAACCATCACTATATGAGGGGGGAGGGGGTTGTGGAAGTGTATCTTAACTAAATGTAGGAGAACATTCAAGATAGTAAATTTAATGTAAATGATAAGGTCAAAACAAACGGTCAGTAACAATGGAGATAATGATTCGAACCCTGTTTCACTGAAAATACTAATAAATAGGATAAATGAAAACAAATAAATGTTCAAATTCAAAAAAACAAAACTCAAATGCTGAAGGATTCCTTTTAAAACCATTTTTACTAGAAACAATAATGACTTTTGAAGTAAAAGGTGAGATGAATGTCTGCAAAAGCATTATGTAATGCTGTAAAAAATGATGTAAACATACACTGAAAAAGCACACTTTATCTTGTTAGAGTACAATAATAACTTTGAAAAATCCTTTTTCATGAAGAATCTATAAGATCAGTAAGAAGGATGAAAAATTAGAGTTGTCATAAAAATATAGTAACCTTTAGTTAAATTATTCAAGCTTAGAGATCTGAATGCATTAATCACATTGTGCAGACCACAAATTAAACTACATCTGCTTCAACACATAAGCAATTACAATGTGCCACAAGTACATACAATATGAGAGCAATTGTAGGTAACATCTCAATGCTATTCTTGATGTGTGTTCTTTTTGCTAAAGCTGAGTCAGAGGAAAAGTTAGAAGACGTTAAATATGTCGATGAAGACGATTTTATCTATGATCTA